TTTTCCAATCAATATATTTTAGTGGCTGTGGATTATGTGTCTAAATGGGTAGAGGCTGTAGCATTACCCACTAATGATGCCAGGGTAGTTGTTAAGTTCTTGAAGAAAAATATTTTCACCAGGTTTGACACTCCTAGGGCAATCATTAGCGATGGGGGAAAACATTTTTGTAATAAACAATTTAAGGCACTTTTAAGTATGGGGTAACTCATAAAGTTGCAACTCCATATCATCCACAGACTAGTGGCCAAGTTGAGGTTTCAAATAGAGAATTGAAAAGGATTCTAGAAAAAACTGTTAATTCTTCTAGAAAGGATTGGTCATTGAAACTTGATGATGCGCTCTGGGCATATAGAACAGCTTTTAAAACTCCTATTGGTATGTCTCCATATAGGTTAGTTTTTGGAAAAGCATGTCATTTACCTGTTGAACTTGAGCATAGAGCATATTGGGCAATGAAATTTTTAAATTTTGAGATGCAAGCTGCAGGTGAAACAAGACTTTTACAATTGAATGAAATGGATGAGTTTCGCCAGGAAGCTTATGAGAATGCCAAAATTTACAAAGAACGAACTAAAAAGTGGCATGACATACACATTTTGAAGCGTGAGTTTGCAGTTGGTGATAAAGTGTTGCTTTATAACTCTCTGCTTAGACTTTTTCCAGGGAAATTAAGGTCCAGATGGTCAGGTCCTTTCATGGTGACAAGAATTTTTCTTATGGTGTGGTGGAAGTATCTCACGATACAAAGGGCACATTTAAAGTGAATGGTCAATTGTTGAAACCCTACATGGATGGCGGATACAACAAGCATGTGATGGCCATTGAGTTACATAATCCAACTTGATCATCCAAGGACAGTCAAGCTACTGACTATAAATAAGCACTTCTTGGGAGGCAACCCAAGCCTTAAATTTTCTTTTCTTTTCTTTTCTTTTATCTTTTATTTATTTATTTATTTTTATTCTTTATGTGGGTAGTGTAGATTTCATTATTTAATTTTTTTTTTTTTACATGACCCAGGCTGAAGCATTTCAACCCAAGTTTGACCTTCCAATGTTCAACTGCTCATATGGGGAAGTTTTTCTTCTACTTACAATACATTGAAAACGATGATAGCTTGAGTTTGGGGGTTTAAATTTGTTTGTGGCTGTTCAATATCTATATACTATGCTTGATTCTGCCTTTACCATTGTGGATTTTAATTAACAAGGAAATTCCTTGCTACTGAAATTTGGTAATAGAGCTCTCATTTCATGACACTAGGTTAATTGTTATGCCCTGTTTATTGTTAGCATTGTTTTTGACATGAAATTGAAGGTGTTT